GCTCCCAAAGAAAGAGGAGTCATCATCAAAGAGAGTAACTTCTCCCTCATGTCTGATCTCTTCTGCTGACCTCACCCTTCAGCCCTCATCGCGATCTGCTTCCTTCTCTGAGTGTTTCACAAGCATCACTTGCTCTTTGTTTCTATCAGATATGCTGTTATTTCCAGAGTATACTACCCCCTCCCCCCTAGGATGCTTACTCCTTGTATGTTCAGATATACTTATAACAAATGCATTGCTGCTTTTAGTATTTATTTACTCAGTGCTTTAAGCGTAACAAGATAAATCCTGGGACTCCCCTTAATGCGATCCAAATATGCAACAAAGACTTGGGTGATAATTTTATACAGATCTATGTTTTGCAATTCAAATGACCCTTCCGACAACAACAAATTTCAGTTCTGTCACTCTATTGATCTAATTAAAAAGAACAAAAGCAGTTCTAAATCCAATGGAGTCAAACAATTAACAAAGAGAACAGTTTCCAGGATGAGTTATGTTATCAACACCAGGCTATAGATGAAACCCTGTATGCTTATACACTCACACCCACTGAGAACCGAGGAGAACCAGGAGAGTGGTACTGTAAGTCTACTGTAGCCTACAACAAGTGGCTAACTTTCATAACTCCCATGGGATCGAACTGAACAATGAGCACATTGAAGCTTAGCAGCCCCCCGAAGAGAAACTCCAAGGATAAACAGGCCATCCTCATGAGGTTCGTCAAAAGAAAGCACAAATCAGGTCTGTTTAAACAAGTAGCAGGTTGAGGTGGATATGTGTTTACATAAATGAACGTGCAACAAGACACAAATTAAGCAGCAAAAACATGTTCTATAAATCCAAACACATGAAAAAAAAAATGCAACAGAAAAATTCTGCAAACAAAAAACAAACAAGCTGCAAGCAGGTGCAAAGGCACGGCAAGTTCTGAAATCAGCTGGAAACACTGATAATGCAACCTCCAAAACACACAAACAAACAAACAAACAAAAAAAATGAGAAAAGAAAAATGCAGAATAACAAAAAATGCTGCCATCACAAACAAAATGCAACAAGTGAAAACAACAAGGAACTTGCTCTACAAAATGGAAGTGCTCCAAACAAATGTATTATAAAAGATAAATATTCTAATACAGCATAGATATATAACAAAAGGAATGCAGAATGCTTGTAAATGAAGGAACACAATATGTAGTAAATTTACATATTATTTAAGGAATAGGATGGTGGAGACAGAAATTACATATAAAAGAGATAAAAATAAATTAACCAAAATTTTAAAGACAGCTAAACAGGAATATTATAGCATACTGTTAGATGAATATAAAATACATATAAAAAAAACTATGGGATTTATTAAATAATATTATTAGAGAAAGATACAAAAGATTAAATATTCACATTATTTAAGTAGTAACAATATAATTATTGAATATCCCTGAAGTAAAGTAAATGTTGGCCAGTTTTGGGAAAAACTCAATGAAATAATTCCAGCATAATTAACATTGTTAGTATTTCATTAAAGAAATAATCTAACTAATTAATTTTCATATATTGGTATTGTTACATTACCTGCCATCTAATGCAGTGTATCAATCAAAGTGACTTTACATAAGCACACTATCTCTGCATGGACCAGCAGTGAGCTGAGGTAAGGATTAGTGTAATGCCTGGACAAAAACTGGAATCACCGTGAAGAGAACAGGATTAGTGACCGAAAAGAACGCAGTGGTGTTAAAGGTGTACTAAATGAAAGGTCACTTCAGAAATCAGGGACAAGTATGTAAAGCAGGACATGATAAAACATCTTATTTGTATGTTTAAAACTCAGGCGCCATTCTCCACAACCCTCTTCTCCCCCTTAGTCTTGCTTTCCATAAAATCTGGTTTAAACCTTAAACTCCATGATAAAAAGAAGTGAGTTGTAATCATAATTTTATTTTACTGTTTTAGGTACTTTAACTTTCTACCATTCAGAAACATGCTTTTTACTCAATTTTCTCTGTAATGCCTCTAAGATCTTTGATTGCCTGAATGCTTGTCATCTGTCTTTTAGTTATCCAGGGTCTACTCCTTGTTAACTCAAGATGGGCATCAACCTTGATAAAGAGGATTCAGAAAATGTATCCCTACTTAACAACATTTGGGTATATAATAAAAGTTAATTATTTTTTATTATGTTCAGTTTTATTTATTTATCTTCCAAGCTGTTTCTTTTGACTGTATGTACTATTATGTAACGCCTTTGGAGTGCCCAAATTCAATTGAATACAGAATGTTTGGAAAGAGCTACAGACATGAGGATGGCGGGAATGCAATGAGAAAGGGACAGAGTATCTAATAAAAATATATAGAAACAAGTTAAGTTCAGACTCAAACTGCAAATACAACTCTGTTCTTGTCATTTTAATGCTCACATGTCTGGCACCAAGGAGAGTAAATACATTCACAAATAGACATTTACATTTTTACATAATGAAATAAAAAAAAAGGTGGCAGATCAGCAGAACAATTCCAAACAAATCCGATGGGATAATTCATAAGTTCGAAAAGGTTTTGGCAGTTACACATGTCCATAAATTGTAGAAAGGTGTCAGTAATTGTGGAAGGATGGCAACCTTGGCTCTGATGGAGGACATCGGCAGTAGAAGAATGAGGAGGGAGAGTGTGCTGAGAGACTGCTGGGACATAATGATGCATCACTTATAAGCTGGTTTAGATTGACCAGCCTCACAGAGGTGCACAGGGAGGAACTGTGCATCGCTAGTGCTGGTTTAACTTCTCACTGCATTCTTTGCAACTGGAGTGTTTTAGGGAACAGGTGTGGTATTAAACACTCATACTCAGTGTTGGGAGAAATTATACTACACAGCAATGGCATTAGTAACTGTGTTAGTTTTTCATTGAAAACAGTAATCTAATTACTTCTCACATATTGGTAACGCCATTACATTACTTGCAATATAACTGTATTACTACAACTAGATCAATTAAGGCAACTTTTCATGAACACAATGATTTTTTTATGCAAGGATGTACAGGAGCAAGGAGCTCTGACTGTGACTGGCTGGATGTGTCTCTTCATCAGTATCAGATAAACTTCAGAGCAGTGTCTATTTATTGTCATGCAAAGGATTGTGGGCAACCATGGAGCTTCTAGGAACCTCAGGAGGTTTCTATGCTAAATGCATTAGTTTTAGGAAGCATCCCGATGCTTGCCTAGCTCCTTCCTTACTGCCAGCACTACTCAGATTACACATATGATGGTGACTGTGGACCTATACCCGCCATAGCTCAAGTATCCTTAACAATTTGCCATATGCGCACAAGCCAAGGTTTGGAGCTGACTAATTTCAAACTATGTGCTTTCTTTGTTGAATCCGTTACCAAGGGACACAATAAAAGACAGAAAATGGTTTTAGGCTCTCAAATGGAGCCATCAAAAATGGTAACAGTTTATAAGCTACATATTTAAAAAATGAATTCCCTGCATTACATTTTTTTTTTATGTTTTACTTAAACAAATATATACAACCAACACATTTATAGAATTTGTTGCTGGTGTTGCACAACACCCCCAGAATTACCCTTTCATCTTCCCTGACACTTACAGCTAACCTGGCACAAGCCAGATTGATCCTTTGTGGAATTCAAATTGAGCTACATATATCAATCAAGTTGAAAGGGTTTGCAAAAAGGGGGGTATTTAGTACAATTCTTCGAGATGATTTGGTACCTGTCTCGTATGTCTGTGACATCACATTATTATTTATTTCACAACTGACCGAGTTAAGTGATAAATCAAACTCGGTCGGGAGGCACTTGCAAACATCTTCCCATCCAAAAAGGCAAATATTTCATCCGGAGCGGCCATATTTGTTTTGCCTCAGCCTTACGCCTCTGGTTGAAACGTTGATGTCATACATGTCACTGCACTTTATTGGTCTGAAACATTTTTGTATTGACACTAACGCATCTGTTGGCTTCTGACAAGATGTTTTTTTAGGAGTTTGTGAATTCAGAAATCTTGCAACAGTTCATCTTGCTTGCAAGGTAAACTTACAGAATATCTGAAAATAAACAATATGATGAAAAGATGACAATTTATGAATTTAATCTGCCATACATAATAGAACATGTTAGGCAGTCCATCCCTGTATTTGGCTCAGCTCTAGCTTATTGTCTAATTACCTTCAGTATTTAGAATTCCGAACATTTAGATAACTGAAAGCATGATAAATAATTTCTGGTATACATCGTCAACTGTAATACAAAGAAGATACAAAAAAGAAAATGGGAAAAATAATAAGGAAAATTGCAACAAACCCTCACATGAATACTACTTTGTTTTTTTGTAATGTTCCATGTTAGTACATTTAGCTGTAGTTGCAGTTATGCAATTCATATAATTTGATAATTTCAAGAGAATAGACTGTTTTCCAAGCAGTTCAGAATTTTGAAGTGTAGAAAATGATGCAGAACGGAAAAATTAAGTTAGGGCTATGATTAATTTTAGAAGATTTATGATATTCTAAATATCCGGAGGATTACTAAAAGCAACAGAAACAGTAAACAAACTGTTTACTGTGTCCAGCAAAGACATTGCTTCACAAACAGGTGTGCTTCAGACTCTTTGCACAAATTACACAAAAGGTAACATCTAATTTTGGTAATATAATATTTGCCTACTCTGTTTTTTTATGAGTTTGGTATACAGTGCCGGAAATGTACAGATTTCCTTTTTGTTTTGGGGTTTTTTTTTTGTCCCACTGATTCTTTGATGAGTTATTGACGCAATTTAAAATTGAAGAGTGTTATCTAAATTTATTGACTGGCTTTTTCAACGGATCAAGCAAATATTATTAGAACATTTTATGTGTAAACTGCTTAAGCTACTAAACTGACTGGATGCTTCACCAATTTGGCAGTTTCTTGGTCACTTTTATAAAATGTAAAAATGATCCAAAGATTTCCCATCTTCAAGAGACTAAGCTGTGCATGGCTGGGTCATTACAAACACATCTGAGACAGCTCACCTCTATGCTGGATTTCCTTTATAAGAAAATCATTACTTTTGGTAGATGGATCTATTTTCTGTGTGACTAATAATAATCAGGCTCACAGTCTCCCAAGTGTAGCTGGAGCACACCCTGGCTGTGCAGTTGCAGCAACAGGTTGAACTCAGTAGGCATTGCATGGAAATTTGATTTCGCTGGTTTGTTATCATAATAGTGGTGAGTTAAGTCCTGGAAGGTGTGTGGGTGAACACTGAAGGGCCAGAATCCAAAAAGATGCACATTGTCACAAAGTTCCAGTGCCAAGCTGGTCATCATAATTCCTGTGCTGAGCCGGGATGCCTTCCAACCTTGAGAACGCCAGAAAAGGTCAAGACTCTCGAGGTACTGTGGGTTAAGGAAGACTGGCCGGATGGGGCTTTCAAAATCCTGGACAGTATAGAGAGCCCTCATACATACAGGGGTGTTTATACTGTAGGAAAAGGCAGGAAGAAGAAGCATAGAGTCGCCATAGCTGCTTAGCTTCTCTATTAATGGACGCCGCCGTTCCATTAGAGACCTGTACCTGTAAATATGAAGCAAATATAAAGGGATATGGCTATATCCCTAACAAGGTTACACATTACCTCTAAGATTGAATTGCATGCTTACTTATCCAACAGGATGCTCGGATTTGATGTCACAAGGTTTGTCTTACTACCCACGTGTTTTTCATGTCCGTTTGTAACAGGAGGTAAGTTGCACCTTAGACATAAAACAAACATAGATATTGTTAGAAATTTTAACAGCTGAGTTTTATCATCTTTACTGGGTGGTTCACTCACCTTATGACAAACTCAGCTGAATCAATCATTTTTCCACATCTACTGTTTGCCAGGATTCCACCATTCCCTACAACAGCACAAGTGAGCTTTGTTTTATTTGAGAAAGGATGCCCCTGGAATGAAAATGAAACAGATAATTGATAATATGGAATATCACCCCAATGTTTTATGTGCAACTTGTTGAGCAGAATTTGTGTTCTTCTACTTAAAGACTGAACAGCGTAAAAAAAATTGTACATGTGAATTTTTTATTTTTTTTTATCATGTGCTGTGCATGAGTGAATCTTGTATGTTTGCGTGAATTGTGCTTTGTGTGTGTGTGTGGACTTTTCTGTGCTTGCATGAATCATGCTGTGTGTGTGTGAAGCTTGTACTGGGTGTTTGTGGATTTTTTTGTGCTTGCGTGAATCGGGCTGTGTGTGTGTGTGTGTGGAGCTTGTCCTGTGCATGTATGAATCACATATGTGTATTTGTGAAAACTGAGACTGATTTAGCTACATACATATACCACTCCGCTCATATTAGGTCTGGGAGTTTTGTCTTTAGTATGCACTCTGTTTGATGGTCTTGTTTGGTTTGAAATGTACTGGGATTTTGTGTTTGGAGACGCTTTGGAGGAGTTGGCCCAAGTGGCTGGGGAGAGGGATGTCTGAGCCTCCCTACTGAAGCTGCTACCCCCACCCCGACCCCACCCCGGATAAGCGGAAGAACATAAATGGATGGATGGATCCCAAAATCCTCTCTTTCTTGTTATGCTGACATTGAACAAATAAAATATACATACAAATATCTGTATGTACAGATAACTTGTAATCTTTAAGTTATGATTTCATAATGTCTTTTTTTCCTGTAGGATTTTCATGATGAGATTTAGGAAGGGAGTGTTTATTTCCCAAATGATGCTGTCGTTGTAAGCACTGTTTCCTCATTGAAGGTGGAACAATGATTTGAATACTAACTGGGACCTTTTTTTCTGGAGTTTGCATATTGTTCCTTATGTGCATCTGTGATACCTGTCTCTACTTTAGCTTCCCACCTCAGAACAAAGACACATATGTTTGGGAAATTTCTCTGAGGTGTGACAATGCACACGCATGTTCTTCCTGCATTTAAATAGTACCCCATGTAGAGGAACAACTGGATGGATAAATGAAAGACTGAGTCAGCATGGAAATACATTTTGATTGTGGTGTTAAAAATCTAGACTTATATTTAGTTTGTATTTAGATAACATAGAAACAGATGCAAAGTAACTTACTTTTGGGAAGGTGCTGAAGATCTCTGGCTTCACCTGGAGGCTGGTCTTTTTTTGCCCATCATAAACAAGCTTTGATCCCAGAGGAGTGTTTGTCTGGGTAATTATAGCCTTATCAAAGCCATTGCACTTGCTGCTAAGCTGAAACCTGCAGAACCAAAAGACCTTTGTTGACATTCAAATATAGTTAACAAGATCAGGTACAACACATAACTATAAGCAGACCAGTGATAGCCTAAACATTTGCATTTACTGTCATTAAGATAACATTTACTGTCGTTATGAGCATATATCATGTCTGATAATTTTTGCATTTCATATATCAGTAAAATTTCAAGAATACAGTCTGTACTTACTAAAAATGCTACAATTTCACATTTCGTTTAGATTAGACTATTTTACAACTTACCTAAAAACTACTATAAGTGGACTTTTGTAAGTAGAAGATATTTTATAAAAGGATACGACTATTCCGTAAAGGCACACCACATATTTTGTGACATTAAGAGTTGATGCTACATATGTCTATATGTATATTTATATTATTTTGTATTATTTTATATATTTAAATCTAAATGTTTGTATATCTGGAGGATGTAACAAAAGTAATTTCCCTCTGGGATTATTTAAGTATTTCTGATTCTGATTCAACCCAGGTATGAATAGTTGCATGGGAAAGGGGCAAAATGATTAAGAGCTACTTTTACACCAATATAAAACCTCCAACTGATCGACTTGACATTGTTAATAATCTGAATGTTATAGGGAATTTGTTATTCTTATCATTTTTGTCAAGGTTATCAGATTAAAGTGCGCTAGATTTGAAACACAAGCAGTACCTTTTAGTTTGCAATTTCTAAAACTATTAATATATGTTCTTTTGCAGCTACTTACCAATTATGCATTACTTTGTGTTCTTTCATATTAGAACCATTTAAATGGCAATATAGAAGTATGTGGTTGTAATGCAATTAAATTCTATTAAATTGGGCTTTTCTATATTCTAGAAGTCTGGCGCCATCTTGTGGCCCCAACATTACAATTATTGTAAACTAATGATGTATTACTGATTGATAATTGTATTTATTGCTACCCAAAACCCCTAGCTGAAACTGAGACCCCCACTTCAAACATACTTGCAAACTCTTTATAAGAATTACATGAACTCAAGGTGAAGGAAATGTACATACCCAACAAAAAAATTAAAGAAGAAAAAAAGCTTTCACCTAAACTTTTTAAAGTTGTCCTCCTGTTTTTTCCAGGGTTTGAAGGAGATCTCTAAAGCTTTCTTTATACTCTCTCTGCAAAATTTTCACAAAACAAATGTAAGTATAAAGAGGCCACTAAACGGACAGAGAACAAAATACGCCTCAAAAAAATGTGTTCTCACCCACAGTTTTTACAGGAATCAGTAGACCGAGGAGCAATTTTCATTTTGGGCAGGTGTCTGCGATATTTCATGTTTCTGAAATACGATCAAGAGAAAAAAGAAAGTCACTTAATGCTCAACAAAAACTTCAGCAAATGATCTCTCCCACCTTAAGCTGTTTTATCAGTGTTGGTCCGTTGTTTTATGAACATAAGAGACCTTAAAACGCAATTTGTGGACTTTTGAAAGTCACTTAAGTAAGGACTTTTATGTTATAAAACGTTCTCATTCACCGAAATTATGTTGAAAGAACAGAACATAAATATAACCTGAGCTCCTATTAAAATTTGCTGAATGAAAAACATGTTTTCAAAGACATCTGAGTTTTTAATCCATGAGCTACAAGATCATGTTTAATTTTGTTTTATTATTGTTTTTCTTTTCTAATAATGTGATCTGCTGATCTCTTTATTCAGGAAATAACCCTATCCATTCTCTGTCTTTAATCAAAAGCCTGTGAAAATACATTAATTGACAGCAAACACTAAAATTAAATTAGCTAAAACACAAAGGAGAATAATTCTCAAACACAAAAAAAAAATCACATGCAAAATATAAATGCTACAACCACAAAAAATAAAGAGATGCCAAGTGCAAAGAAACTGCAAATACAAAACCTGCAGCAAACACATAAATGATGCTACACACAAAAACACGTATAATTTTTATGCCTGCCAGTGTTTTTGAATTCTCTTTTAATTCCAGTATTTGCATGGAGTTTGCACCCTATGGCCCATTTACCTCTGCTCCTTCTTACTCTTGTCTTTCCTTTTCATGTTTTACACGCAATTTTAAGCAAAATGCATTATGTAAGAGTACGGTACAATAACATTTAAAAATCATTACAATCACTTGTACAGGAGAGTTTTGAAACTATTTCAAGTTTAAAAACATTTTTTTAAGATTTTCTGCCAAACCAAAGCTTCTTTTCTGTCTAACTTAATGCAATCATGATGGATTTGAGATTAATGTAGTTAATATTTCCATCAAATGAACACATTTCTATCAATGTTTGGATATTTTTAAAGCAAAATAGACACTGGTATACAGTGAAGTAATGATTTAAAGTTTTTTTGAAATATTATATTTTCTGTGTGTCTACATTATTAGAATTTTATTAAAAATTTTTAGTTAGTTACTCCCCTATGTTTTTAAAGTGATTAACATTGCAGTATATACTGTTATGCTTCTAATACTAGTGGTTTTATTGGTTTTATGTCTGTCTAACCCTAACCCTATGTCTTTGAACAATTAAAAACCTTTGCAGCAACTTTAGGATTTAACAGTTTCTCAAATAAATTTCTTAGTCCTACTTTAGATTAAAATAAGAATTTGTTGGTAAAAATGGATACAGACAATGTTAAAAAATTAATATCAAATAGAATAAATTTCTCTGAATTATAAAGATATCATTGTGTCTCCCACAGAAGCACATTCTACCAGTTATGCTAAAACGTAAAAGCAAAAACCAACTTACTTATTGTCCAGCTTGTACCACATTAGAGTGGTCAGCAAGCCCCCCGCAAACAGGACAGAGAACATCAGCGAGGATAGGTGTCCCTTCATGCCTCCTTTCTAAGACCTCTTAACGATCAGACTCCTTCTCTGACTGTTTCACAAGCATCACTCTCTCTCTTTCTCCTGACAGGCCGGGTGTAATTTCCAGAGTATACTCCACCCTCTCCCCAGGGATGATCGCTCCTTTTCTGTACAAATATATAACTAGAATGTTTCCTCTTTCAGTGTTATATACAGAAAAACGATCCCACCCAAGGTTCAGGTATAGGTTTTCGATCAGGTCCCACTCCTGATCGAAACCTTTCCTTCAGGTTTGCCGCTGATTCCAAAGTCAATTTCTTTCATTTTGTTGCTGAGATGGTTCACATCGTTACCAAATGCAGGGAGATACCAAAGGAGTTTTTGCTCCAACACTTAATTCCACTGTTTACTTTTTATTCTGTAGCAGTGTTTGTATATAAGATTTCTATTAGAACATTTATTTTTTTGTGTAAGCATCTACTTAGAATCAATCTGACTTTTTGATACCATGTCATGTGCTGTCAGAAGGCGTCGCAAGAGTTTAGAAACCATGAAGAAACTGGCAGAAGACTAGTTATGGCCATGTTTTTCACTCTGGCACCAATCCCCTAACCTCATTCTTAAACTGAGCAAGAACCACACCCTGTCACCATTCACCATCACAGAGAGTTTTACAATAATTGATAAAATTGTCTCTAATGGAGACTTTTTCATTTAAAATCATCCTAACAAGTCTGTGAATGGAAAAGAAAAAACAGGGAGGGTCAGCCAGGGTAGCCATTGAAACAAAGCTTTGAAAAAAATGTCTCATTTCGTCACATTGCAACACCAAACCTCAATGGATTTTAGTGGGAGTCTCTGAAGGGCCAACATTAAGCGGGGAATAGTTGTGGATTCGAAGTGGAATGATATACAGTTTTTAATCCTTTAACAAATACAATTCTGGAACATATGGGGCTTATTGCTGTTGAGCCTCTCTGAGACATATTTTGTAGAATCACCTTTTCACTGTAATGTTATATTGTGAATTTTCTAAAACAGCTCTTTGAAATCTCATTGTTCTTTTGAAATTGGTGTTGCATTCAAATCAAAGATGTACACTTTAAATTAGAGAGAAAAATAAAGGATTCACATGGATCCTCTGTACAAATGCCTTTTGTGGCCATTTGTTTTGGCTTCTTCTTTGTCAATGTAAGTGGAACCCTTAGATGAGGCTTTTTCTCAACCAGATATGCATTAAATAAGGAAGAATGGGACCTCCCTGCAGCTCTATTTGCTTTTGCTTAAAAGTTTCTAATCAAATAAATTTATTTTGGACATATAGAACCTGAGTAAATATTATTGTCAATTGGGGGGAAACAACCTGTCCAAATGAACATGGCCCTAAGTAATTAATAAGTTGAACACATCAAGGCTCAGAACTGAGGACGCAGAATTTGAAGCAGACAGATTAGTGTTATTCACAGGAGCATTTATTATCATACGTAGAATCTGCAATTCAGCAACAAGGGCATCAAAGGCCTGGAATCTCTGTAGGGGGAAAACTCAGGTTAGAGACCATATATCTCTGACAAAGGCCGATTAAGAGCTTGCGAGTCACTAACCTGATTTTAGAGTTCAGTCTGTGCCCAGAAGAAAGAGTAGAATCCTACCGGATGGCTAACAACAGCACACAGCGAAGGCCGCCCAGAGAGTTCCATGAGCGGGAGCCTGAAGCCTGCTGAACTGGCTGACGAGCAGATCCAAGTTGGCAAAGGAAGGCAGGAGTTTCCAGAGGATGAAGTCCAATTCCTGTCAAGTCAAAGAGGTTAACAGGAGTCCAGACCAGAAGATCAGAGATCCGAAGAGTTGCCGAGGGGAAATCCAAGTCGAAGTCAGGAAACGGATCCAGGTTCAGTCCACGAGCAGAAACCAACAGGAGTCCGAAAACAGATCAGGCAAACAAATCTGAAACATGAGGAGGCAGGATCAAAAGTCCGAGGACAAAACTGGTCATGATGAGGCAATTAGAACAACAACAGGTACACTAGAGAACTGTTACCAATGGCTCCAACAATCTGTTACTGATGACTGGGAGCAAGCAGCTTAAATAGAGGCAGGAGCAGGTGGATCAGATGAACAGGGATTAGAAACTGGGCAGAGCAAGGTAGGTGAATGGAATGAACCATTAAGCCAGTCAACAGTGCCACGATCATGACATAGCCATCTTTAACAGCAACAACTACAATCAACCTTTTCTGGAAATCTGAGTTTTAAATTAATGTGGAAAATTTCTGGTCTGTAGTATTTTGCAGAATTTTTGTGGTTGTTAAGCATGAATGGATGCTTTAAAATCTGGATCTCAGTGGGATATTTGTCAAGGCTTTGAAGTAATCTTGTTGGCTTTTTTATCCATATAATGATGGATTTGCTAGTGTTCTTAGAATAATCCAAATTGGATAGTTTCTTTCTTCACAACAGAAGTCTCCGTTTTGTATGGTCAGCAGTGGTTTAAATCTCAGAACTCTCCTAAAGGGGCCATTTTTGACCAAACCTCTTTTCCTGTTCTTGGATATATGTTCCTATCCTTTTATTTCTTTAATCTCTCACTTTGATAGTGTGAATGTTACTTTTACTTATGTTTTAGCTGTTTTGTCTTTAATCTGTAATGTTTTATGTTTTACTTATTTTTCTGTACAGCACTTTAGTCAGCTGTTGTTGTTTTATATATGCTTAACAAATAGAATTGGATTGGATTGCAAATTGGACTAAACGAGGGGTAGAGGATGACACTGTTAATCCACCTTAGATGTTTTCTAAATATGTTGAGGGCAGGGAAAAACAAGTTAGATTTATTTTTGTTGATTCCCCGTCTACTTTACCATACAATCCAACCACACATTTTAGATGACAAACTTTAGATCATTTTAATCTGCATTTAAAACGAAACAGGCTGGATTACGAGACAGAACAATGAGTGAGAGTAATGGACAGCTGTCTGAAGACATGTCGTCCTCTATCTGATGACTTCAAGGGTGTGTTTGGTCTTCCTTGCACATCCTTTACCTTAAGGACTATTGTAGCCAGGGTATTAACAGATATATTCAAATATTTGCAGAAGACTTAGGTGTTGTCATCATCCTGCAGGGAGATAAAATTATGCTCCTGTTTTGAATTCATATCTTCAGTCACTGAAAAAAAAAATAGAATAAAATTTTGTGCAAACAGAAATACTTTGGAAGTGAAGTTAGGTATATCTTTTCTGTCTCTTCTGGCAAAATTCAACATGGACAGAACTCTGATTGTCCTTTTGGCTGCTCCCATAATCAGGGGTCCCCACAGACAGTCATTAGAACTTGCTCACACAATCAGCAAACTTTTTACAAAGGAGGGTTTTTAAACAATAGTGCAAAAAAAAGAAAAAGTTATTGTTCAATTTTGAGCCCTAACAGAATTTTGCATGGATCCATTGTTAACCCAGTCTACTCTAAGTAAAAAAAATAAAAAAAAGACTTAATTACTCACTTGTTTTGAGTACAACAAAGATTCTGGGGTATTAGAGAATTGATGATTCATTTAATCTTACTTTTATTCTCCAAATAAAACAAATTTTTAAATAGATTTCCAAAACAATTCTATATTTAATATATACAACTCTACAAATACTTGAAAAATATTCCACAGAAATCAATTAAGGTCAATAAAATTTTAGTATATTTGCACCATTTGTTGTGTCTATTTTAATACGATTCATCACTTAAAATCTAAGGATGATGGAAAGATAAACATTTGAAGCTTTTAGTGTGTTACATTAACTTGAGGCAATCAGTTTCCTCAAATTAATTAATTTTAAAAAAAAGTTGTGAGAACTAAAGTATAGTAATTTTTTGGGACTAAAGAAATTAGTAGGTTAAGTATTTTGAATCATCTTAAAGTAAATTTTACCACTTAATTTGGTGTGGCTCGGTGCTGATAAGTACACTGAACATATAATAAACAAGTTTTAAGGAAAAATACACCTACGTTCAGGAAACTTACTGGTTTTAAGTTCAGTTTACTGAATGAAACAGTACAATAGAATATTAACAACTGTGTTACCATAACCAGAATAAACTAATAACATACTTAATTAGTTTTTTTTATAGAACTTGTTCATTTGAGTTAATGTACTTAAATGATTTAAAGAAATCGGTTTCCTTAAATCATGTGAGTTCCAAATTACTTATAAGGTTTTACAATGTATAATAAATTAATGTTGCTTTTTGTTTATTTTTTTACTCCCATCAGTTGAAATTGTAAAGTAGATTGACCAAGTTATTTTATTAACATGAGAAGGGAGAGAGCAAGTGTTATCAATGATGACACCAATGGGAGAGAAAGATGGAGGCGTGACTGGAATGAAGAAGCTATGAAGTTTGGTAAAGAGAGAAGTTTTGTTTAATTGCATTTTAATTTAAGAAAATTCAGGATGAACCAGTGTTTTATTCCACGGAGTCAATTGGAGAGGGACTAATATGGGAATATAGAATTGGATTTGAGAGAGACATGGAGCTGAGTGTCATCCACGTAGGGGGAGAAGGTGAATGACGAACATGCCTATTAATCCAAGGGAACATCTGAGGTGACAGAAACATGATGGGAGGGAATCTGCTTGACAGTCAACAGGATATGTCCTTTAATACATGTGGGAAACTTTGCATGTTCCTGTGTCAACACAGAGACAGAGGACAAACAGTCATGCACACAGATCTAAGGGCCGTTAGTGAGACCAACTTACCTGTTTGCATGTATCATGTTTACATGTAGTTTTGGTTTTTAAAGCAGGCTTTATAGAATGGAGAATTGAGAGGAAGAAGAGGGCTGTTTTACTGCTTCAAGGTTAACAGATAACCATGCCAATGAAAATGAGAGAGGGGTTTTTCCCTGCCCCGTTTTACACTGTTGTCTCTGTTCTGTCACTGATACCAGGTAGTTATCTGTATTTTAATGACAAGCGCGGTACATTAACCTAGCCTAAGGGAAGAAACCCCCCCAGAAAAGTACATTTTAGTATAATGATAAGGCGTGCGAAGAAAAGTTTGACTAGTTTAGATAAAGCTCTTGGACATGAGTCCTTTAATGCTGCAGATATTATTTAGGTGATAGAAGGCTTTGTTACTGTCTTTATGTGGCTCTGAAGGTTCAGGTTTAGTGGATTTTCAGCCTGGTTGGTGTTTTCCAGCTAAAGTAACTAAAGCTATGTGCTAAATTATTATTGCTCCAGGTTTTTACAAAAACTTTAACTTCTATTCTGTTTTTGTTCAGCTGATAATTATTTGATCCATCCATGCATTAGTCAAGGCCGTTTGTTAGCTTTAACAAAACTTACAAAAGGTGAACTGCAGCTTAAACCGACCACAGCGCTTAATTAATTAGTGTTGAGTATAAATTGGTTGTCAAGTATTAGCTCTTCTCTGAACATACATTGCATTACAAGCCATTTATATGGTGAATGGATCCCTCTGGTAACACTATCGAGAATAAACAGAATCAAGGATCTTGTTATCCACCACATCTTTTAGATACACCCATACAGCAGTACAAACAAAATGGTGAATCCCATTTAAACAAAGAGGGTTTCATAGACATCTTTAGAAAAGTATTTGTGTATGAACTATTTGTCATATTGCAAAAGGCTGTAGGATCAGGAAATACTTCTCTAGTCATTTAAACTGGTGTGACAGCTTTAAACAAAGGCAGCAGTGTAGATATTAAAAGATTTTATGAGTTCATCATCCACACCTCAACTACCTGACTACATTTACATTTTGGTCTGCTGTAACCAAAACTATCAACCAAAAAATTTTGTTTTTGATTTAAATACATCTAAACTGGTAGATTTCCATGGTACATAGTGTAAACATCTTGCTTACATGCCCAAAGACACAAGTAATGATTCATGAAATTATTTTTTCAGCGAATATCTGAAATGTTACAAGTCCTCAATTGGGGAGTTAAGGTCTTTGGAGCACCTTTACTTAGTCACCAATTTAATATTTCATGTTAAAACTAATTGTAGGAGTAAATTATTTTTTTAATAATAAGTAAAAATGTTTTTTGTTTTTGTGCATAATCTAGCTATGTCTATTTTACTTTATTGTTTGATATCTGTTATGAGATTATGTTTTTTTTTTTTTGGTTATTTAGTCAAGTTCCTTTGTTTTTTGTTAGTTAGGATTAATTTAGAATGAATTAATTTATGATCAATTACTTTTTTTAAATAGGCAGTCACTAGTAGGACCAGCATGCATCTGGGTGGGCAAATGTTTTTTTCTTTTTACCAGATCAAGAGAAACATGGAGGAAATGTTTGTCTTTTTTTGTTTGCTTGCCTGAAGAGAAAATAAACTAGGAAAACTAAAGAAGTTTACCTGGAACATTTTTCTTTTGCCTGCGTAAAATTAGTCCATGGTGCATTTGTGGCCTTTGTGGATTTCCACTTTTTTGTGTCATCAAAGCTGGGCCACAAAACTAATGATGTGGAAAAAAAGTTTTTTTTTTTTTTTTTTTTAGGGCCTTTTTTTAGGGATTAAAGATTTTTAAAATTGGAGGTTCTACAGATGAAAAAAAAAAAAAACAATAAAGGTTTTGGATTAAAATTACATTTCCAGAATAATTTAAACTCAGAACTTTGATAAAGTTTCATTCTCTCAGTGTAGAATACAAATGTCTTATTGTGATGCAGGAACAGTATTTGTCAGCATCCTTTCTGATGTTGAATTCTTAAGCACAAAATTATGATAGAATTTTCCCTTCAATAAGGCTCATTTACAAAAGGCGAACTGCAGCTTTACAGAAACTGATAACAGCACTTAAGTTTTCAGTAACCTTAAGTAAACTGGTTGTGAATTCATCTGTTCAGTTTTTGCTTTTCCAGAACCAAGTTGTATTACAAACTGATAATATCAATGGCTCTCCATTTTTTCAGGACTAAACAGGATCCAGGAATGTTTATCTTAAACTCCAGTTCATCTTGAAAGCTTTGATACTTAAGCTTAAAAATTAACTGAAGCACAGTTTAAATATTTAAGAATGACCACCAGACATGATCGAACACAAATCTTGTTTTACCTTTTTTTTCTCCCAAGAAGGCCAAATATCAGAACATTTACTACAGAAAAGTTCTGCATTTTTCCCCGATTTTCATTCATTTCTGATTCCATTCTAAAGTTATGCTTTCAAAGGTTTTAAATAAACAAATGTATTAAAATGAGGAATAGACAGCTTTGCGGGTTTGATCCAAACCTGTTAAAAGTATACAGCAGCAGACAAACTGGGGGGAAAAATGGCCTGGGCATTTTCACCAGAGACAGGCCTGCTAGGTATTGATGCAAAGATAATAAAGCCAATGGATGGAAACAAAATTATTTCTGATGGAGCTTGCAAACTGTCTTTTTCCCACATATGTATTTTTCTAATAACCGTAAACACCTACAGCATCCTCTCAGTCCTGTTAGTCTGGAAAAGGACATAAACCGAAAGGCAGCTTGTTCTAGTTAACCTCCTTAACAATGTGCAGAATATAACAGGATCCTGACGTTTGGACAGAGAGGAGCAAAAGTGATCATTTTTATTTACAGATTGTGACTAAATATTATTACAACCTGTGCTTATCACATCAGGATGAAATGATTCAGATAATTAAAGCACTCTCTCTCCAAGATACCATGGGGACAAAAAGCTACATTACCTTAGGTAATAAAATGCCCAAATTATTTAGTTAACAAAAATATACTGCGTGAGCAGGGGAAAGAAATAATGTAACATGCCATCTATTGATCGTTAACTCTTCTCACGTAAAGGTAGGACAGCCCAGTTTAAGCACTTTCCATCCACCTTATCGATGCAAACTAGCTGAACCAAACAGAAACGGGGTGAAATGACAAATTTTTGCTTTTTATGCTTCCACTTTTTTATTACTACCGATTCAATATCTTTGGTATATTGCATTATCGTCCTCAGAGACAAAGAATCTTATACCAATGCCATATTATAGTTACAGCTATAGGCTGAGAAATACCAAAGGACCTTTACATTTGACTATAAAGTATTTTAAATTGAATGGTAACATGTTCAGTATAAATATAACTGAACCGGAGTTTGCAAGCACAAAAATAAACTACATCTTAACTTGTTTTATAGCTGACCCAGATAAATTAGTTCCTTTATAGGTGCCATTTCATATTTGCCTTCAGCTGCATTGACGGCTACAGTCGTTCTCCGGTAGAAGCTTCTTCAGATAATGCTGTTGAAATGGACACTACCAGAACCACCAGCACAAATCTTAACTTTACACATTTGGCGACATGTATGAAGGGCTTTTCTTTCTAGAATATTCTTCTCCATGTGTTGACAGAGTGGTCCAAGAGGAAGGACGGATCTGCCCTGATTACCCCTGAATCAGTCATCACAGGGAAGAGCAAGGTTAAAAAGACAGTCCCAATATCAAACCCCATACTTAAGACTTTTTAGGACTATACAAATCTTGATTGTCAATTTTAGAACATAAAGAGAAGTTATTTTCCTGACAATTTAACCATTTACACTCAAAATTTTAAATTTAAATAAAAGGTTCAAGTTTCATTTATTTTAGAAACTTTAGGTTTTCTCTGAGCTTAAGAAACAAGGACAGGCAGACAGGGACTGTCTTTATGTACATCTTTTATTATCAGCACTCGACAGGTGGTACGGTCAGGTGGTACAAAAGGAACCAGATTACTTCTTGGTCTCTTCCTCCTTTGAGAGGTTCTTAATGATTTCCTCTTTCTTGGCCTGGAGGCGCTCCTCTCTGCGCTTGCGAGCCTCCTTGGTCTTGGTACGACGGGCCTCAGCCTGATCACTGCAGAAAAGGAGAACAGAACAATGTTACTCTAACAGTTCAAACGTTTGATTCCTAAAACAGCTTGACTGGAACAAAATCTCAAGTATCATAAAAAAAAATTATATGGTCATTTCATGCATGAAAAGAATCAGTTTTTCATATGATGAAAACTTACGCAAGGAGCTTCTTGCGGGCCTTGTCTGCCTTCAGCTTGTGGATATGCTCCATTAGGATGCGCTTATTCTTGAAGACATTACCCTTGACCTTCAGGTAGAGGCTGTGGTACCTGGAGGAATTCAGATATGTAAAATAAAACATAAAGCATCAGTAATAAACCTATGTGGATGCTTGTATATCACTAGAGCGACTACTTTGAGACTAATGAAAAATCCAGAAAACTTACATGTGCCTGTCAATTTTTTTGGCCTCCCTGTAGCGACGCAGCAGACGACGCAGGATTCTCATGCGACGCATCCAGCAGAGTTTCTCTGGCATACGTGCGTTGGCTGTACCCTTTCTCTTACCTGGATACAAAAATTCAGCACATTAGTAAAAAGCAAAGTGAAAGTTGCCAATTCCCTCTTAGAAAAACACAATGTTCAACATACCGTATCCCATGTGTCTCCCCTTGCGGCGTGCCAGTGTGTTCTTGCGGCATCGGGCCCTAGAATGGACCGTAACGGGTTTACGGATGATCAGACCATCTTTAACCAGCTTACGAATCTGCTGACCTGAAAAAATAAAAAAATAGATTAGAGACAAACAATACTTGGAAATAAGTGTTAAAGGGGGCTGCACAAATGTATAGATCATCCAGGATATTTTCTCTTCCTCAGCTGAGGAAGAGACGAGTAAAGAAAGATCTACATTATTTGCACTGTGTAGCACTTTGAGATTTTTCTTAATGAAAAGTGCGGTACAAATCGGATTTATTATTATTATTATTATTATTACAACACAAAACTCATGTGGACACTGAGAATCTGCGGCTGCAGTTTGCCACCAGTAACTGAATTCACCATAAGATCAAGGCTTAATCATCCCTTCAGACACAGCTTTTTGAGAGATATTGTTGATCCTAGTTTGATCAGTCTACAATGCAAAGTATACAACTAGAATTGCACTAATTCAATCTGTGTATTCCTGATAAGGAGACATCCATGGCTTATTGAAGAATTGTTGCAGCCAGAGCTGAAGCAAATTATGTAGTTGTTCACTGATTATTGCACTAACAGCCAAATGAAATAAAATGATCACTGATTTAAGAAAACAAGACTGTAAAACATGCCATTTGCTTAAGGATAAACTCACTTCAAATATATATTAATTTTGATGGGGAAAAAAAAGGAGTGTAAAATACTCCATCCAAAATTTCACAAGCGTCATCTTGTTTCAACGGTTTCAAATTCTGCATTTAACCTATTAAACATTTTTTATCCAATTATTGATCAGAAGGAGTAAGCGAATTTATAAATAGATTTCCTAGATTTAGATTTCCTTTCAAACACAATTTGTGTGACCCTCCCATTTGTCTGTGGAGCTGAACTGTAAGCATGCTGTAAGTTTTGTCATTTGAATTTGCCCATCAAGTGCACCTGAAAAAAGTGAATTTATAACTTATCTAATTCTTTGTTTAAAAGGCACCATTGGGAAAATTATAGAAGTCATTTTAGGTATTATTTATACTGTATAAATGGTGAATTAAAAACAAAATTACAAATTGGATACAAGAAATGTATTCTTACCTGTCAAAAACTTACATTAAACATTGAAAAAAAATTAAGATTTCATTACCAGGTTTTATCAAGTTCTTAGTTATCACGTTTTCATAATTACAGCTTTGATTATAGCTTCGTTTGAAAGATGATGCTCCAAAGTCCATGTGGAATTGAAGTTAAAGTGATCTTTGATTTGTTTGGGGCCTGGTGTTGGGAAACTTCAGCACTTTCAGGTTAACTATCAGACAGAAATGCCTCAAAAAACAAACCAACAATTTAGCTATGATGCTTACGGGAGTTGGCGTTAGCGATCTCATTTGTCTCGTTGGGGTCCAGCCAGACCTTCTTCTTCCCGCAGCGCAGGACGCTGGAGGCCAGCCTCTTCTGGAGCCTGAGCATGCTGAAACATCAACGGTACACTCATTAGGGTCCTCCAAATTCAAATAATCTTGTCCCATTACTAAAATTATAAGACAATTATAGTTAAACTAAAACGTAACAACAGATGCTAGCCACTGAGCTAAATGTTAGCCACCCGGTTGCTAACACGTTATCAACATGGCCTCCGTCGCTACATCGTGTTACCTAAAAACACACCATTGTCATATTTAAGCTCAGAAAAAGGCCATAAACACGGGAAATACTATCATAAAGAACCATGTGTTCTTATTTCACTAAATACGTTGACAATGTGTGCATGAAAACAATTAAATTGTGACTTTTAGTTTGCAATCCACAGCGCTCCCACCTCATGGCTGCTACTTCAGTAGAAAAAGGAAGAGAGAGAGTCAGCCTGGAACATACCACTTTAAGAGGATAGACCATCTTTCGGCACAAACAATTTTGGGTTTGACAAGGTAACACTTAGCTATTATTTCTATTTCTATTAAAACCCATATGTGAACAAACATTATTTATATCGTAAAACTGAGTAACTGTATACAGAGCAACAAGAAAACAACGATAATAAATGTGTTTGACTAGCGTCCCCGGCCCCCCTCTCATCCAAATATTGGTACTAACCAATGTTTTTGCAATGCATTATGGGTCAAACACTACAGTATTGTGTTCTTTTCTATGAACACCAGATGGCGGTGTTGAGGCAACATAAAAAATTCCCCTTAAGCACATTTTCAATGTGGCTTCCTAAGCAGAACCATCACAAAGTAATGTTTAAAGAAATAATATTATATTTCAATTTTCAATAAAAAAAGAAAAATAACTTATTTGTTACACATCAAAACAGGAAAAAGCTGCAATAACTGAAATCCACATGTGTGTACTAAACTAGAGTAATAAATTAGACATTTATTAGAAAAGATTAAAAAGAAAAAGGCTTTTTCTTTACTATATTCTTTTAAAATTTTTTTGATAGGGCTAAATGGAAGGGTGTCAGTGAGGCTGTCAGAGGCTAACAGAAACACTAAAGACGCTGCTGAAGGGACTAGCGCTACAACCTGGCATATTTGCTTTGTAGGTGTGTATTTATATGCAATGTCCCTATTAAATGAATAAATGAAATTATATTAATTGTGATAGTAATCATTCATTCACCACAACAATAGATTTCTATGTTTGTCCAGTTCTGCAGCGTCAGCCCTGTTTCTCTCATTCAGGTAAATAAACAGAAGCCCTGCTGTTTTGTTTCAGTCTGTCAGAAAGAAATTAGTTGAAGAGACAGTTAAAGCTTAGGATTTCAGAAATTAGTCATAGATAAGAGTTTAGCAGATTAACAAATTAATAAAGAATATCCTAATATAATTTATATCAAAGCAAAATACATAATTTTCAGAAAGCTTAAATACATATATATCCATTCTGTTGTAGAACTGTGTAGTTTTCTAAAATAAAAAGATTTATGTCCTATGAGTTAAATACTTTAATATAATGCCTTAATAACCATCATTATTTGAAATATCCAAGAAAGTGAATAACAAAGCATCGAATAATCAAAATCCTAATGAGAAGAAGGAGCAAAAACACATCTGATGGTAATATTAAAGAATAAACTATGCAATTTTTAGTGTCAGTTGAAAGCTTTTATGTTTGATTAAGTTAGTAATTACTTTAAAAGGTTTTCTTTTGGCTCAATAAACTCAAAACTATAAAAACATGTAATTTCGCTAAAACAGAAGTTCCAGCTTTAAAACTAGTAATTCTTTATCTGTGAACACAATTCCAAATTAAGAAAGTAAAAAATACAACAATAATGCAAATCATTTCTTGTAATCACAATCTGGACTAATATCATTAAATCCACCCTTTAATGATCGTGAAGAGCATAAATAAGTGAATTGCAGCAAATAGTAGAAGTGTATATCTACAGTATGCAGCTAAGCGACAACAAGAATATAGCTCTAAAAAAAAAAAAGCTTTACAGACTCATCAAAGCATTTGAAGAGAACAAAAAATAAAAGCTTTGGTTTTATTTTATTTTTTAAGTGGTATCCATTAAGAGGATAAGATGGAAACTGTGTTGGTGTAGCGGGTGGGTTCTTGTAAAACTAACTCTTACAGCACAAGTTGACCAGTTATCGTTGAATCCTCGACCTTCTGGAGCACCATACGTCACCAAATGGAGGCTGCAGGCATACAGTGTGGGTGCACAAGGGCCTCTCTTGTGACGTCTTCACCTCATATAACTCACAGAGGCAAAAGCCTCACTAATGGGGCAAATTAGTGAGCGATACCTCATGCTGCAGAAAAACAGAACCTTGAAGCTTTTAAGATGTTTCAGCTTGCAACGATGACCTGCAATCTGTTTAGAGGAAAGGTCTATAATGAGGTAGAAAACGCTTTAATCGCCAAGATTAGTTATAAAGCATACACTTTTTAAATGAGCTGTAGAAAACTCTGCACTAATGGGGGGAAAAAAAATATAAATTACACTCCAACGAAATGTTTCACTTTCATCAATGTGGTCAAATGCAGCTAACCGACTCACGCTTCAGTAAAATAATGCAATCAAAAGAATACTTTTGACTTAGCTAAATAATTTCTAATAATATAAATAACCACAGACCTTAAACCAACAGTTTCATTTTAGTTTCTTTTTATTGTGTTGGTGGAGAGGAACCCCTTCCTGTATTATTGAAAGCTATACCAACCAGGCTCAGCATGAGCAGCCATCTGCCAGGGATAGCTAAAGACTAAGAGCACAAGAAGATACAGATAGATAACAGAATCTCTGAAGCAGAGCTTAAAATGATAGAAAGTGTTGAAAATTTCTATAAAAAGAAGAAAAAATGCACAAAGTTGATGACAGCAAAAGCCCTTTTTTTCCCATAAAGGAAAAAAAGCTAAACAAAAAACAAAATCACTGAATTAGGATTAAGTTATATAAACACATGGGCTGTAGTGTTGTGTATAATGTAGCAAACAATCGGTCTATCAGCTTTAATACCTTGTAGATTGATCAGACATCTCTGTTAACATCTTATTGCCTTAGTTCTACGTATGTTTAATCTTTAATGTCAGATGATTATGCAAATGTTTATCCAGTTGACTAATATGATACAGCTAATTTTTTTACTATCAAACACATTTGAGGGTCTTTCATTCAGTTTTTAAATGTTTTCTCAATTTCAAAGGATGTTTTCATGATAAAGTGTTTAAGAAAAAGTGAGCTGGCCTGAAAAATTCATATCCGTCATGAAGATTTGTAATTTATATGTGAAAATATGTTTAAGGATGAAAACTATTTAAATATAGATTCTACCAGCAGCAGCAAAAATTATTCATCATATCACAGGAGGTCAGCGCTTATGAGTACAGTCATGGCCAAAAGTTTTGAGAATGATTCAAAAGTTAATATTTACAAAGTCTACGGCTTCAGTTTTTATAACTGCAATTTGCCCATACTCCAGAATGTTGTGAGTGATCAGTGTAACTGCAATTAATTGCAAAGTCAATATTTGCCTAAAAAATGAACTTTATCCCCCAAAACACATTTTAACATCATTGCAGCCCTGCCTTAAAAGGACCAGCTAACATGGTTTCAGTGATTGCTCCATTAACACAGGTGTGGGTGGTGATGAGGACAGGGCTGGAGATCAAACTGTCATGATTAAGTAAGAATGACACCACTGGACACTTTAAAAAGAGGCTGGTGCTTGGCATCATTGTTTCTCTTCTGTGAACCATGGTTATCTCTAAAGAAACACGTGCAGTCATCAAAAATGGCCTAACAGGAGAGAGAATCGCAGCTAGAAAGTTTGCACCTCAGTCAACAATCTGTCGCATCATGAAGAACTTCAAGGAGAGAGGTCCAATTGTTGCCAAAAAGGCTCCAGGGCGCCCAAGAAAGACCAACAAGCGCCAGGACCGTCTCTTAAAAGTGTTTCAGCTGCGGGATCAGGCTACCAGCAGTGCAGAGCTTGCTCAGGAATGGCAGCAGGCAGGTGTGAGTGCATCTGCACGCACTGTGAGGCGGAGACTCTTGGAGCAAGGCCTGGTCTCAAGGAGGGCAGCAAAGAAGCCACTTCTCTCCAGGAAAAACATCAGGGACAGACTGATGTTCTGCAAAGGGTACAGGGAGTGGGCTGCTGAGGACTGGGGGAAAGTCATTTTCTCTGATAAATCCCCTTTCCGATTGTTTGGGACATCTGGAAAACAGCTTGTTCGGAGAAGACCAGGTGAGCGCTACCACCAGTCTTGTCTCATGCCAACTGTAAAGCATCCTGAAAACATTCATGTGTGGGGTTGCTTTTCAGCCAAGGGAGTCGGCTCTCTCACAGTCTTACCTAAAAACACAGCCATGAATAAAGAACAGTACCAGAATGTCCTCCAGGAGCAACTTCTGCCAACCGTCCAAGAGCAGTTTGGTGATGAACAATGCCTTTTCCAGCATGATGGAGCACCTTGCCATGAAGCAAATGTGATATCTAACTGGCTCAGGGAACAAAACATAGAGATTTTGGGTCCATGGCCTGGAAACTGGAAACTCCCCTGAACTTAATCCCATTGAAAACTTGTGGGCAATCATCAAGAGACGGGTGGACAAACGAAAACCTAGGAATTCTGACAAAATGCAAGAATTGATTGTGCAAGAATAGACTGCTATCAGTCAGGATTTGGTCCAGAAGTTGATTGAGAGCATGCCAAGTAGAATTGCAGAGGTCCTGAAGCAGAGGGGTCAACACTGCACATATTGACTTGCTGCATTAACTCATTCTGTCATGACTGTAGATGCAGCTCAGCTCACAGAGCTTTGATCATCTCTTTTATATTTTTACATTCATACGCCTTCGTCTTTTCCAGAGTGAGGGCAACCTTAGGTCATTTGTTTCCCTAAAGAAAGCACCATTGTTCTTTCTCTTTAGACACTGTGCCTTCCTGCTCTATATCTTAAATAGAAGAAGCTGAGTTGTTTTGTGCACCAATGAAGCCCTGCAGGACCTCTGTTCTGTGGATGTGTGTGGACTGCTGGCCTTCTAGCTGCTCTCTCATCATTCACTGTTTGAAGGTGGAGTCTCTCCTCATCTGGGCGTAGACATCAGCTTCCAGCTGGAGGCTGTTGATCACACACAGCAACACAAACCTTGTAAAGCTGGACATAAACACGCTGGTAGCCGGAGGATGTTGCCTTAAAAATAAAAGCATTATGGTTAGGCGAATAATGGGGCATCTGGAGGAAGGGATCTAAACATAAACATTACATCATCAGCAGCAGCAATAGAGTATATTCTTTTTACTATCTAGATTTAATTCTGCAGCACAGATAGTTTATTATATATAGAGCTGGAAAAGTTTAAAACTCATACTAATCAATAACTGTGAAGTTTGGATATACATTTTTACCTGTGTGTCCTCCACTTTGGCAATGTAAATATGCTATAATTTTTTATTTAATTTTTAATTTAATTAATTAATTTTTTATTTTTAGCGCTTCTACAGCTACGGATTTTTTTTTCTGTGACGATTATTAAACATAAATAATTTTCCAGTAGTCCTCATTCTTGTACGAGATTGTAAAGACAGCGCTGCCATCGATTTAGCTACAGACTTTATATTATTTGAATATCTTTTTACAGAACATAACTGTCAATGTAGATACACCTTATCTTGAAAGAATACATACCTAAGTACCAAAGTGTTCATGTTATTATTAAAATATCAGTTGAACAGAAATTTCATATGATGTCGTTTCATATGTAAAGTATTCTGAAATACCTTATTTTGCATCAAACTGTTAATTTGTTTAGTTTTTTATGGCTGCTCTCTTTCCCAATTTGTAATGTTGACAGAGTAGACTGTGAACAGAACACACGGGAAATAAACACATTATAGAGGAAGCATATTCTGGACCTATTTTATTTGTATTTCTCACCGGTTCTACCTTTGTCATACCTCATCAAATAGGTTAGATTATCCTGAGCTAATTTCGACATTTATGCTGCTATAGGCTTAGGCTGCTGGAGGACATGGTGACCACTTTTCATCATTCTACTTCATCCCATCTCTATTCTCACATACTGCAGTCTTTGTTCGTTAAACCCATAACTTTATGTTCTCTCTGCTTTTTCCTGACATTGCTTCAAATGGTCTGTTCTTGTTTGACTGTGACACCATGCTGGAGAGAAAAATCAACACCTTAGATTAGAGATAATTGAATGGGGCCTGTTTTTCAGTGTAGTCCTGTTCCTCTTACTATGACTAACTGTACCTGCTCTCTTTCATCCTTTGATGTGGGAACTGGCTTGGAGCTCGGATGCTTGGCTGTGTTTTTCCTGGATGGGGCCACCTGTGGAGCTAGTAAACAGTTACCTTTTGTATATCTACTTCTTTTTGTTCGAATGCTTCTATCTCCTTGAATAAACAGTAGTTTTATTGAGCCTGGTTCTTCTGGACGTTTCTTCCAGTTAAAAGGGAAAATAAAATGAATTGAATTTATATTTGATAGGTTTTGTCATTTTGTATCATTATTATTATTAATAGTAGTAATATTAGTAGTATTGATCCTCTGTTTTTTAGGTCCTTTTATTTGTCTGACCGGATGCGCATCTGCGTCATTCCGCACACTTGACAGCGGCATCTGCGCTCTGTGCGCCAGTGTGTAACGCTATAGGCTGGAGGGAGGCAGCTGTTGCCATTATTTTAACCAGCCACCACAGATCGACCTCCGAGTTCTCCCCTCCCCTGGACAGAAAGGAAAGATGAGTCGCTCCTTTCCATCATAAACATACAACTGGAAGAGATTCTTTAAAAAGTAAAATCAAATGGTACAGAAAAGTAGTAGTATGTCCAGGACGCCTTCGACCCCAAACCAGGAGATCCCCATGGGTATGATCGACCACCATCCGCACACGCAGGTAAGACCACCGATTCAACATTTTGAATTTTGTCTAATTGCTATCGTAATTTTATAGTGATTTCTGATTCTAAGTCGGTTTTTTTAAATGCAAAGCTGTTTCACTTCTGGAGATTAACAGGTTGTTCGGCTCCCCTGTCGCTCCAATGATCCATGCGCTCATAGAAAACCTCATTTTAATCATCAAAACTAAACATGTTTAAGGAGAATTAGGAATAACATCCTGTTTATTTAGAATAGCAGTTCCGATTTATGTTTTATTTCCAATTGCTGTTTTTTTTTCTCATCAGAGCGCCGAGATATAAACCCAGGATGTCCGTTTGTTTCTTTTCTGTTGATTTTTCTGAGGAAAACCACACCTCTGTAATTAATCTGTTATAATAGAAACTAAAATTATCCACACGATCAAATGAAACCCACTTGTTGACATTAGTAATAAAAAATAAATAAATCTTACTTATAAGACTGTTAAATTTTTATTTGGGGATGTTAAATTTATGTTATTATTGGGATGAGAGAAAAAAAAAGTCATCCAGTTTAAACTTTTAATGTTCCTTTGAGTTTTTAAAGCCACAAATAGGCAGTGATTTGTGTGTAATGTGGGCATGTTTAGTCATAACTATTTAAATTGATAAAAAAAAAAAAATAAGAGGAGAATATCTAGAACAAACACGCCTACGCTGAGCTCAGTCATTGTCTCTCTGGAGAAGAGAGAGAGGAGAAAAAAAACACCTCACCAGAGAGAACCAGCGCTTCAAACCATGCCAAGTCCTGCTCTCTCCACTTTACTCCCACTCTTCCCAGCTCCCTCTTATCTCTCCCATCCCCCTCACCTCCTTCTAGTTCCTCTGTCAGTGTCCCACTATCACCACCATCACCATCATCATCATCATCTTGTTTGTTTTTCAAAATCAGAGCTTTACTTGCAGAGAAGCTGCAGCCAGAAACAGGTTGAGGCAGCAGGGTGTTCATCTTATCTTGTCCTTTTAGTGTTGGACGTGTGCTTCTCCTCATGTTAACGTGTGTGTTTCTAAAGAAACAAACTGTGGGTTGAGAACTCAAAGCTGGAGGGCTTCTTATATTAAAGATGGTGTCTACAGACTCCATTAAGATTACAGATCAGATATCTGAGCTCAAAAGATGGGGGATTCTGCCCAAAAGAGTGAAGAAGTCCCCCACTATGCTCCTGAACCACCTGCCTCCTTCTCACACACCCTCCTTAATTACACTCCTAATCTGGGAGGATGTTTACCAACAGGAAGCCTCTCCTCCCCACTTCCTCTGGCATTTCTCTGCCCTTTCCTGACATGAACGACAGCCACGTTCAGCTGCAGTGGGTTTTCACAGATCATCTGTGCTCCATATCGAACATCTAATAAGGCATTAGTTGGCCTTCCCTTTTTTTCCCCTCAGATCATAGAGTCCTTCAAGCTGTGACATTGCTTCATCTAACATCTTAATTGCTAATATATTTGGTGGCAATGCATCATCTCCTGCTCGAAAGGCGTTCAGACTCTAATCGGCTGCAACCAAATTTATTTGATGCCATCTAAATCTCATCTGGAGATGCTCATAGCATCCTTTTCAACTTGACTTATTTGGTGAAATGTTTAAAAGTGAGTTCTGTGTATCGCTTTATCTAAACAAGCTGCAGCTGATTAGCTACAATGAAAATAGTTTACGTGTTTGGTTATATATTTAGTTTGGGTTTGAGCCAGCTGTTTTAAAGTGATGTGAAAAGACTGTTGACACGACTTTAACTTTGGATCACAGTGTAAGGTTTTTTTTTTCTCTTATTTGTCAACTTTTTTGTTTAACTGTCTTATTATTTCTCTAATAATAAATGTAATTGTAATTTTGTAATTTTACTTCTAAGCAATCACATACTTGAATTGATATAATTCACACTTATGATAGACAAACTAAAGGGAAATGTGCATCTAGGAAGTGGGAAAAAAAAGTGATTTGTGACGTTCGAGATGTTATACAAATAATAATGAAATATTAGCTCAATTGTATTCAACCGCTTTTAATATGACACTTCTTAATAAAATCAAGTGCAGTCAGAATGCCTGTAGGATTTCACATGCTGCACATATACATATAAATGTATATGTAGATTAATGGTATGTTTAACGTTTAATGCAGGGTTGATTTTTGTTTATCTGACTGTATTATTATTATTCCCCCACTAAATGAAAAAAGTCAGAATTAATTATTATCTAGAGACTATTAATAACAGGAGGTGAAAAGCAGCTCCAGACGAGCCGAGCCGAAGCGTTGCGTATATTAGCTGTGACATGTGAATCAAGATGCCGAAAAAATTTGATTGACAGATTACTGTTGATACATGATTGGTCGAATATAGGTGTACACGCTGACGTATAAATAACTGGCCTGCATAAGATAATGAAAAAAAAAACAAAACACAGATTTTAAGACAAAATAGAAATTTTCTAAATTTCGCAAAAATATCGTCTGATAGAGTACATTTATATGCATGTTTAAGCCAGAATAATTTGACATTTAAATATGATTTCCCTCCGACGTTTTAATGGACCTGATATAGAAGTTATTAAGATGTGTTCGCAAGACTTTAAAATGGGTGTGTACAGATCCCCCTACATGGCTAAATTCAGACATCTTTGAGAAGAAAAATTGCAGAAATTTCTTGAGATCTACAAAACTTGTAGTGACACACCTTAAAAGATCTTCAGCTGTAGTTGCTGCAAAAGGTCCTTCAGCAAAGTAATCAAAAAATTATATCCCAACAAAACAGATTTTAATTTTGTACAAAAAAAAAGTAAAACCATGTATTGATTTCCTTCACAAGTGTACAACACTGTGTTGCACAGTTACAAGATATCCTTGGGAAAGGAAAGTTAGATCCAAAGAAATATCTTTTTTTTAATAGCCATATACCTTAAAGTAAATGGTGGGAAGTCATTTCTTACGATTCCAAAAAAAAAAAAAAAAAAAAAAAAAAATGGCATGGGAAGGTAGATACAACACAACAATAACAACACATCTGTTGAACAGAAATTGTTTCTTAAAGAGGCATGGTGTGCAAATGATACTGCCCCCCTGTGGCCAAAACACAGAACTACAGAACTTCTCGCAGCTCTTGCTCCCACTTGAAATGTTTTTTTTTTATTTATTTAATAGTTTTCACCATTGGTTTCTGAGTAGATGCTTCAGAGCATTCACTAAATCCATACTAAATATAACGCTTCCATCATTTGCTAGGTCAGACCTAGTGCTTGATGTCACATCTGCAGGAACAGCGTGGGAACTTCTGACCCGAAGTATATTCATAAAAATAGGCCAATGGCTTATAGATGAATTACTGAGGTGCCAGTCTGCTCATCAAATGATCTTTTAGTCATAAAGTGTCAAATAAAAGGGCTAATTTAAATATATTTTCAATAAAACATGCATGATATCTCTTTAAAAAGGAATTAAAAAAGAAAAGATAATTTTCTTGTTTTAGGAAGAATAACCAGAAACCTCACAGATAACCCCTTTACCCAGTACAGCACACCATATATAGACCGGCTGTTAGCTGACAGGTTTTAAAAAACACAACAAAACAACAAACATAATTTTATGGTTTTAGAGTGTAAAAAAAGATAAATTAAAAATTATTGTTTTTCTCCACGCCATGGGTTTATTTGACACCTATACCTTACACTTGAAGTGCAAAAAAAAGGGTCTCGGTGGAGAAATAACTTTTTAGCCCCTTAAAACAGGAGAGATTCATAACACACATAAAAGTAATACTAATGGCCTGTTTCATTTTTAAGAAAATTAAAAGAAAGAAGAATAAACTGACAACTGAAATGAAACAACACTTGGACTTGTTTTAGAAATACATGGAAGTTATTCCAAGACTGACATACAGGAAACGTTTGGGTTTAAGTGAATGGGTAACTTCTGATGTTGTCTTTTTGTGAAAAGATTCAAGCTTCTTTCTTGCTCAACATTCAATCACTCTGCTTATTTAAACTGCTCCACTAATTGGTACCATTGGAAATGTGTCACCCTCGCCACCGCCCCTTTTCTTTTTGTGTTAACAAGCTGAACAACAGCTAAAATGGTGGCAACATAAGCTTCCGCTCTTCTTCCTCTTCTTATGTTCTTAAGTCCATTCAAGCTGTTCTTCTATTCTTGCTCATTTTTGTTTTTAGGGACAATTTAAAAATGTTTACTTTTATGTGTTCAGTAGTGGGGAGTTGGCCCAGTGGGTTAGATCAGTGCGCTTGTGCTCTGAGAAGTTTGCAAGTGGGTTTGATCCCCACAGCCTGCACTCTGGGTTCCTAAGCAAAAGCCTCAACCCCACACTGCTCCCTCGGCGCCGCACAATGGCAGCCCACTGCTCTCCAAGGGGATGGGTTTAATACAGGTAAATTTTTCCAATGTGAGATCAATAAAGCTCAATTATTATTATATATTTTCTAAAAAGAGCTGAAAACATTAATTTGGCGAGGAAAAAAAAGTAAAATGTAGGTAATAATTTACAGTCCAATGAAACCAAAAGGCCCAAAACAAAACAAACAGCTTGAATTTAATTTTATTTTACTTTATGTATCTTTAAATTAAAGACACGTATCAAAGCTTCAAATCCTAATATGACCTGCTCCTTTAGCAATTATATGATTTTATCTGGGAAAAAAATCAATAAAATATCTTTCACAGGGGTTGTCAAAATGATTATTATTTTTTTCAATATTATCAATACCAGACATTTGTTATAGATATTGAATCATTTTCATAAAAATTGACACAAACCCATCTGTTTTGATTCCCTGAATGTGAATGAAGCATCTTAAAAACGGTTATTTATAGAACACCCAGTAAAGCTCTTTTAATTGCATCATTAAAAGAGTAAACATGTCTGCAAGCATAAGTACATATTACATCCTTAAAAATTAACATTTCAATCAATGTTAAAAAATGGTGGGTCCAGATTGAAGCTGACATTGCAGAATCTAGCCTGGACCTGATGCAACTTATGCTCCTAAGTTAAAAGTAAACTTTTTGTACAGAGCAGGATGCTTGTTTATACTGAAACTAAACTGTATGGACTAGATGTTCCCTGTTTACGCTCTAAAATATCTGTTTCCATAAAAATTCAACAACGGAAGGTACCTTCCTAAAAAACAAACAAAAAAAAAAAACCGATATTAGGCCTTTTAAATGTAGATAAATAAAAAACGTTTCAAATAATTTTATTGTGTTGTTGTTGGTAGCATCATTTTGATATGTTCCTCTTTTACCCTATAATATTTAACATTTTCTATGCAGGATGTATTTAGAGAAAGCCCTTTGGATTGATTGTGCTCAAACAATATGTGCAAAATTCAAAGTACATTGACATGCAGCTGTATTCATTATGTTGGGTAGATGTGTGATGTAAGCAGGTAATCTTTAAAAAAAAAAACAACTTACGTACTAGTACGGAACCAGAGTGAGCCACTGGTGTAAACACTTTAAAAAAACATGACTATGTTCCTTTAAAAACACAGATTAGAGGAAATGTATCTGGGACCTTTTGTATTAAAAACAAAAATATTAACCCAAGTGATTTACCACATAAAAAAGAAAAATGTTTCTCTTAAAACATAGCTTTATATGACAATTTTAAAAATATGCAAAAATAAGATTCATGTTTGAGATGGTCTAAAATGCAGAAAACCATAGAAAGGATAAACATTTTCTACTTCCTCATTCATTGCAAATGTTGTTGAAGAGCATTTTCAAGATGTCCTGACATCCTTTTTACTGTCTGTGTAGGTGGGCAGTGATATCATGCTCTATTTTTGCTCTGGAGCAGAACTAAGTACAGTCACTCATCTGCGTTTTCACGGCAAACCATCACATCATGATTCCTGTTCTTTTAGTTACGCCCGCACCACACCGTTTTCACACCCCTTTACTTTGTAATCCAGATTTAATCACATCACAGAAGTCTTATAAATATTTGAGTAACATTTTTGGAAACTCTTCTTTGCCGTTTTTTTTTTTTTTTTTTTATTCAGCCACAAAGATCACAGTACTCCCACCATGTTTGAATATATGTATGATCTTTTCTGAGGGATTTTTTCATGTTGCCAAATGTGACAAGAACCTCGCCTTCCAAAAAAAAAAACATTAATCAAGAAAATATTTTTCCAAAAAAAATGGGGATCACAAAGATTTTTTGTGTTTTGGTAGATGTGACATGGGTTTTAGCTTTCATATTTGTTTTTCTTGGTTCTCACCTTACAACTCCTATTTAGGCCCTTTTTGCTCTTTTCTCCTTTTTCTTGTTGTTGAATCACATATTAGAGCTGCTTGTTATAGGATTTTTTGACCTCTTGCTGGTCACCCCTCAGAAATGTAAAGGTTAGCCACATTAGCATGTTTTTGTTCCCCCATTTGTGGATAATGGTTGCTACTGTGATTTGTTGGGATCCCAAGCTCCTAGGAACAGCTTTGAAACATTTTGCAGATCAATAAATATCAAAGAATTTGGTTCCAATCAGATTTTGAATTCCTTTAAATCAAAGTATGGAGTGTTTCTTTTTGAGATATTATTTCCTCCTTCATCTTTCACTCGTCTTTTATCAAAGAAACCCTATAATGAAAAATGTCCAAAAACCTTCTAGGATCATGTATTTCAATCTGAGGTCAACAATCTTTTACTTTTGGGCCAGAATTTAATATGTTAATTATACAAAACACCAAGAATCACCAAAAGAAAACATATCCACTCTGAAACACAGTGTTGGCAGAATCATGTTCCTTTTCATCAGATGGAATTAGTTACAGTAATTAGCCAAGATGGATGAAACTGTGTAAAGTTAACATATTTATTTTTCTTTACTGAAATATTGTTGAATTATTTAAAAACAATTCTTATAAGATAAAAAAAAATGTTTTAGAGTGTCTCTAGGTTTTAAACAGTGACATAAGCATAAAAAGTGGGATTGCAAGTAGGATTTTTTTCCTTCAGTGAACTAAAATTAGCACAAAAATTGTTTTTTGTAGTTTTCTTCTTGACTGTCTAGCATGTTAAAATTTTCACATTTATCAAATAAATTTACAAAACAGTCCTAATATATTTTCAATTTGTCATCCTAGGAATGTTTAAAAAATATCATATTCGAATGGATTTTGGAGGAAGTCCACAACCTAAAATGTGAAGAAAAGTTGGTCCAAACATCTATGTTGGATTTAATGTTTCCATAAAATAGCGTCATCTCTAGTGCAGCCTGAGATCATTCAGCTAATGTGTGTCTCTAATATCTGTTTCCTCTGGAAACCTCTTGACCGAGTGTGGTATTTTTACATTAGCACAAGTCATGTTTGCTTTACAGCGACACGACAGCCTCCTTTATACATATTGGACAGCGTGTGCCTGTGATGACAAAATACGGGCGGAGGTTACTCATTATGGGTTCCTTGTTTATCTCTCTCTGTTTAATCTGCAAGTCAAGCATAGGGGACTTTTTATTCTGCATGTAGGAGATGGAAGGGATAACTGGGTTACTGTAAGAAAGTGTGTGCGTTCAGCTGTGCGTGAATTTAATTGCCTCTCAGGGTGTGAGTAATAAACCAAATGAGGCTCATGTTAAAATGTCCACGTGAAAAGAATATGTAAGGCACCTGTTAAGAATAGTTGCTGTTGCTCACGGTCTAAATGCACTGTAGGCTGGTTATCTGAATTCATTACATTTGTGCATGACTCATTTTAGTTGCAGGAGATTTTCGTAAACAAGATAAAATGTACACCTCGCATTCTGTTCAATGTGTAATACACCTTATGCTCCAGAGATATAAAAGCTGGAGACATCATGAATTGAACTGGAGACCACCTGATCAGCAGTCAAATGCTCTGCCACTGAGCGATACCTCCTGACACTTGATCCTACAGAGGAGATGATGTGTACATGCTGAGGGTGTATTGATTTTTTGCGTTTGTTCTTTACTGCTGTCTTCTTTTCATGCTGAAATAGCTAGCCTTCTAATTGTCATCAAATATGATTACTCTGTATTGTGTAACCATGACAATGTTAGCTGGGTTGGCTCGTAATGCAATGTGTGGCCTCAGGCTAACCCAAATAGGCCATCTGCCAGAGGTCTTCCAATCAGATTACAGGGTCTCATTTTGAATCACAACATGAAAAACAAGGATGGCAACTAAGGCTCTGGGCACATTTTCTTTGGTCGACTTCCTCTGTGGTCTGGGACTCTTGCCGCTCTATCTCTGGCTCCATCTGACTGCCTGATCATTTTCAAAGGCTTTTAACAAATGCTCTTCCAAATGTTAATGGCTGTCAAGCTTTCCTGGAAACGAGGGTTTCTAAGAAATATGTCAAGTTAATTATTAGAATGAAAGATGACTCAACATTTTCCTCGCTCTCTAACCCTCCTTCTCCTTTTCCTCTCTATCCTTTCAGGGAAAGTATGCTAAGAGGAAGAGCCGATTTAAGCGCTCAGATGGGAGCACCTCTTCTGACACCACCTCGAACAGCTTTGTCCGACAGGTAACATTCACACTTCTCCTCAGGTAATCGGGTCTGCAACCGTTCTCTTGTCCCATTTGATTAAGAACAGTTACATTAAACATAATTAAAGTAGGCTGATCTAATGCTAAGAAGTCAATCATTTTGGTTTAATCCTTTCTTTTCCTCTGCTTTAAAAAGTTCTGATGAGATTGTTTTACTTTATAAGATAAAATATCCAAAATACACACACTATAACTAGTACCAACAGTTAACATACATTTTACACAAACAAAACTTTAAATATCACTTCTTATATTTTTGGCAAAATGTTATTTGATGATCTCAAAACCAAAAACAGGCTTATAAAGACAATTGAACAAAGAGCTTAGGTGTTCACAATGAGCATCAGTTTTCATAGAAGATGAGCAGTGTGATGCAGTTGTGGAGTCCAGCTTGCATGAAATAACTGGTTGATTATAATTATTCTGGTGCAGAACTCTGCTTGGTACTGAGGCTTACCAAGAACTTACAATATCTGCATCTTTTACTCACATCAACAACTGAAAATTAAACTTTCTGTTGTTAGAATTTTGAGTTACTGGACTGAAAATATTTGCTCATTTGGGGAGAGAAGAGATAAAAAGAACATAAAAACAGGAAATCACTTGAGGCATGTGATTATCCAAACTGGGGATTTGTTAAGTCGGCAAAACAAACTAGTAGAAGAACAACACTGCATCAAACACAGAGGAGAAAACAGACAGACACAAAAACCTTGTAAATCCATATGAGTCAGGATTTTTTTTTTGAGAAACTCAATGAGTTTGTCTAAAAATAACAGCTATGTTCAAACCCAACAAGACTCAGACAAAACTGGTTCAGCCAAAAGACTAGACATCCAAACCAAAGCTGAGTGGTGCTATTTACGCACTGCATTGCAGCGAGGACTGTTTGTACTCCTATACTGGAGAAACAAAACACAAACTCATGGCAAAATATAGGAGAGTGAATAGCTTGGAGCAAGATTCAGCTGTAGACTTGCAACTTAAGAGCAAAGGATGCACCTATGATGGCAAAAAATTTTGAACAGAGAGGACAGATTGTTTGAAAGAGGGGTTTAACGACGCCATCTTTGTTTAAAGGGAAAATCCCGAGTAGGGACGCGAGCTGATTGTGTTTTCATCCTCCAAAAATCACAATTTGGTCCCAGAATTCATTCCAAAGAAATTACACCTATGATTCAAAAGGCGTAACACATAGCCCATACACAAAGACTCCAACAACTTAAGCGGATGATGGGTTGATCATTGATTTGCATCATACTTGAATGTGCTTAGGAGGAAAGCCCTCCATGCTTAATAACATCTGCACTACAACTACAGATTTCTCTAGTGCGAGCTGACTGAATTTGACAGTCTCCTGCTTAGGTGTCGAAAACAGCTTCAGAAAAACTGAGCAAAAGTCCGGTTGCCTCAGATTTAAGAATTTTTGTGGTACAAACCAATAAATAAAGGTTATTTGGAACCCTTAAAAAATTATACTTAACAAATGGAGTTTCAGTTTCGTCAGAAAAAACAGTAACAACAGTTCAAAGCTTATGTTTTGACATTAAAATGGTATGGTGTGGCTTTAAAAGCTTAAAAATTAAATAAAGAAAAACATGTTCAAAAATAACTGTTCGTCTGTTATTTAGATAACTTAGTCCTTCGGATAGAAAGTTACCAACCTTCTTAGGATTCTTGTGGAGACGTGAAAGTTTTGCTATTATTTGTTTGTGGGAGCAAAAGACAGGGAGATGACATCACCAAAGGTGAATAGTTGGCGAGACAGACTTGGTCTTTTCATATAGACAGCTTCTGACAGAGCTTAGTAACATCTTGAATCTTTGGTCAGAACCATGGAGGTGGATTTAGGCAACCAAATCCGAGGGGAGGAGGCTTGCGGCAGGTATTCTGTAGTCAGAAACAGGATTGTGTTCCCGAATGTTTAAAAGCAGGCGAGAGAAAACAGCATGGGTAAGATGAGATGGGCAAAATCAAGAGACAGAACAAGACGTGATAAGGGGAGGGCAGGGCTATGTAAGGCAAGGCAGGTCTCACAGTGGGTTTCAAAAAATCTGGCAATGGCTATATCACCGCTATAGGCTTATAAAGCCAAGAGACAAGGTGAGCTGAATTGTGCTGATTGGGAATGGGTGGGTTGGCATAGGTGGAAATAATGAGCCCTCAGCTTGGCAGTTTGGAGCACAGCAGAATATAAACAATGTTGATCAGTCGGGCCCAGAATGACAACACCTTTATATTCTTATCAGTAAATGAGACATGTCTTTATTTCTTCACCTGCTTGGAAATCAGATCAAAGGAACTGAGAAGGCTTTGTAATCATGCAGCTAAGTTTTCATACAGCCAAAGCAGAGATTTTCTTGATGATCGATGGTGGACTGGACCCGTAATAATCACTTTATTCCCACCTACTATGTGGAATCTTTGGCTGTCTCATCAAAGCATTTCTACAACAGGAAGGCTGGACTAAGGCATCCTCAATCAATCGTCATGAACAGCGCAGCTTTCCGTGTCTGGACATGACATTTCTGAAAGCTTATGGTGTTATAGCTGAGAGAGCCACCCGTTTCTGTCTGACCTCTTCATTTGAGAGAGAAACTGATGTGCTTGGTGCTGTATGACATTTAACTGTTTGGTTTGCTGCTTTTAAAAAAAAAATCCTATCCCTGTCGGTGAACACAGGGAGCTGAAGTCTCCTGTGGTTTCTAAAGGTTAGCAGCATTCTCGCCTGCACACATTGCCCTTCCTACTGCCTTGTCCTTCATTAACTCGGAGGAGAGAGAAGACCCACGTGGACTGCAGCCTGTCAGCAGATAGTATTTATGATATCTTTCAGTGTGTAAGCAACACATTATCAGTTAGAATGAAATGTTCTCTCAGTTTTCTTGTTGCATTAAAGCGTACATTTGCAAACTATATGGAAATTCTTAACATACATGTAGTTTTGCATTTAAGCTGAAAATTGCTAAGGCAACATATAGGATTTGATAAATATAGCTGTGCATACAAACGGAAAGCATAGCCCTTTATAGGCTTTACAGTCTCACACACACCCACGCAAGCGCACAACAAGCTCACCACGCACACACAAACGCACAAGAGGCACAATCAACCGACGGCAGAGCCGGCTGGTACACTCGGCCTGGTTTCTATGGCAACCGGGTTGCTGAATCTCCCCCTGCGTGCGTGCGGCGGTGGGATGGAGAGATGAAGCAGAGGATGTTTCGATGGGTTTGTGTTACCGTGTTTGTGCGCCCAATGTGTTTCTGTTTCTTCTTTCTCTCTACCGAGGATGGGTCTGAGGGCGCGGCACACAGGCTTATGTCTCACAAGTTTGTGTGTCAAGTTCAACAAAGGCACACTCTTGCCTGTAGGTGAGCAAAATAAAAAAGGTAAAGTCTATGTGTTGCAGCAGTTCGACCCTGTCGATGTGCTTCCTGTTGCTCAGACTGAGACCAGCGAGGATGTCAATAAAAAGAACACAAGTTTGTTTTACAAATTATAGCAAATAATTAAGAGCCAGAAAACATTCACAGACCCAAGATATGATTATGATACAGCATAAAATGAAAGGGTTTCTACTGCAATTTGTTATTAATTAAAAGAGAACACGGCTAATGGACTGTTCAATGAGATGTTCGCTGATAGAGCAGGATGAAGCTAATCTCCAGACAAACATGTGCTTTTTCAAATTTCTGTCATCCGTTCACTAAAAGCTGTGAATGCAAATTAGATAAAGATGTGTTGAGGAGCAATTTAGGTGATGGGAAAGGGTTTTTTTCATCTTGAGGTTAAAACATAACGCCTAACAAATAAGGAAAAGAAAAAGGTTATGCATGAAGGAAATCTCTACTTCTTTTTAAGCATTTTAAAGCTTGATTGCTCTTTATGTTTGATAAGGTCTTTCTTAGAGCCGTTGGATCTCTTTGCATCCTTTTATTTATTTTTATTTCCCTCCTTTGATTTCCTACAGATAAAGGAGGGAAATAAAGTGAAGAGATGATGAAACGCCCTTTCCTGTGTCAAAGGTCGCCCTCTTGTGGGCAGAGTCAACCCTTTTGGTATTAAGAACCAATTGTTCTACTATCTGCTGAAGACAGTTAGGTAAAATAAATCTACAATTACTTTAAATATATACTTACCTCATATATTCATCCAAAAGTGTTTTAAATGATCCCTAGAACATGTCAGAGGACACATTTAAACGACTATGAACATCATTATATTTTATATGCAGATTCTTTTAGTTAAACTCTATAATAAAATAATATAAATTTACAAATTCATAAATCAAATGTTATTTTTTTCCTGGAGCCAGGTGGTTTGATGAATAGCAACTAAGGAGGAGACATGTATGCATTCTATGTGTATGACCATTTTTAGTATAATACGATTCAGTGACGGATATGAAAAGACGTAAAATGCTTCAATTCTAAAATTTCAGTTAATGTAAACTATAAAAAAGAGCTTTATGTCTTTAGTTTATTACTGCATCTCCGTATCCTTCAGTCTTACATCTTTTCCTGTCTCTATCCCAAATATTTCTTCTTTTTCCTGGAGACACACAAAAGGACAAAAAGAGATGCTGGGGAGAATGACATTGGAGCAGAGGATCAGAGTAATGGAACAAAACAAATGGAAGTCAGGGGGTTGGGGAGGGATGCGGGTTCCTTGTCACTGCCCAGTTTTCTCTCTCTCCTCAGCTGGGCCACTGAATGGCTGACGACTGCATACCAAACCTCCTTCTGGGTCTCAGTGTGTTCACGGCCCTGTTTCTGTCCTGCCAGGGCTAAATATATTTACCCAGATTGCAAATGTAGCACAAGTCCTGAAACCCGACCCCCTCCTTCTACCCCTATAGCCAGCTTCGGTTCTGTACATGCTCCTCGCAGGGTTGTTGAGGTGGGAGGTGGGCATGTGCGTATGCGCGGCCTCGTGTGACAGGGACTGGAGGTTAAGAGTGCGCTCCCTTACTTT